TATCTTGTTTGAATCCATTTCACAGATTCCATTTCTTTCCTGTGCTGGGTTCCTAACATTTTCCTAAAGTCCTCTTTTTTTTTTTTTATCTGTATCTGCTCTAGAGTCACTAACCATGTCTTTCATTATGGTCACCAACTTTGTAGTTATCTGAGAAGTTACTTCTGATTTAATCATTTCTGAGCCCACATTTACCTGCTTTGTTGCTTCTACTGTTGCCACTTCAGAGAGGCCACGAGGTTGGCTTTTGGGTATTTCTACCCCACTGCTCCCTGAGCGGGAAGTCTGGGACCGCATCTTGTTTAAGTGTCCTTTCATTTTCTGTTGTCTTTTAGTTTAATTTATGGATTGATGCTTGTAAGCCAAGGTAAATAACTTTATTGATAGAATTTAGAACTCTTAGGAAATGATTATTTTTTGGAGGTGTCTTCCATGTTTATCTGACTTTTGCTCTCTGCGTCTTTTGTAAGATCCTACCTCATCATTATATTGAAGGTGAGAAGCTGCTACTTGGCTCAGACTCTGGTTCTTTGGCCCTGACCTTTACTATTTGTTATGATCCTGGGCAATCTCAGTCTTGCTATACCAGCAGAAACAACTGATTACAACAATTATTTCACCTTGACTAAAATAGTACAATCAGCACTAACAAGAGCATCAAATACAGCCCAGAAAATAATGGAGGTAACTATTAATTTGCCACCTTTAACTATGTAAACTGTTTACATAACATAATCTAACATGAAACAGATAATTGTATGCAGCAAATAGGGTCTCAGTAAGGCAGTTTTAGCGTTAGGGGAGTAAATGTAAAAGAAATTGGAGGAAAAAATAGAAAAATAGAAGAAGAGGAAGCGATTAGAAGCAGGGCTGGAGGACAAAGAAAAATCACTCTAACTTTGGGAAATTGATGAAGGAGACAAGAAACAGGTGAAGGAGCAAAAGAAAAAATGAACAGAACAACACCAACCAAAAAACCCCGCAAAACTACAAACCATGTTTATATTCATATAAAAACAAGAATATAAAATCATTTCATGCATTTTGAAGGGACAGGAAGCAGGGGGCTCATCTGATCCAGGGACCGAGAACCAAGGAGTGGTAGAGTTTGAGGAGCCAGTAGCTCCATCAGCTGGAGTTGGGCAGGGTGGAGCACCAAGCATGTGAGGTAGCAGGGAGTCCTGGTCTTTGTTTTGTCAATTCAGTCCTATTTTTGACAGTGACTGTCTTGGCCTGTCAGAAGTAGAAAGGTCCGTAACCAGGGATTTAGCTCAACAGCAAAAGCACCTGCCTGGCAAGTACAAGGATGTGAGTTTCATCTCTGGTAGAAAAAAAAGAAAGAAAGAAGATGATCATTGATTATTCACAGTTTCAGGAATCTGATGATACAGATGAAGACTATGGAAAAGATTGAGGTCCTCCCACTCAAAATCTAATCATCTCGAGAAGATAAAAATAAGAGGCAGTCTGGAAGGAACTCACAGGAAGACAGGACTCAGAGGAAAAAGGTGTGAGACAAGAAGGATGATTCTCATTCAGCAGAGTACAGTGAAGACACAAAAGATGATGATAAAAATGTGCACCAGCAGTGGCAGACAGCAGCTAAAGCAGCTTCCCAACAGAGAAGCTGATGGAAGAGGCCAGTAGTAAGGAGGAACCAGAGGAAGAGAACAAGACCATTCCAGAACGGAAATTCTGGCAGTGACAAAGATTCCTCAATGGAAGGCAATGATGATAATGACCATGACAGTTCAAAGACTAAAAACAGAGAGATGGCTAAGAAGTCCAAACCTTAGGGCTGAGGATTTAGCTCAGTGGCACAAGCATCTCACTGGCAAGCTCAAGGTCATGAGTTCGATCCCTGGTACCAAAAAAAAAAAGTCCAAACCTGAGAGAAAAGAAAACAAAAAATGTTCAAACCCAGGCTAAAGGCTACAGTGATACCAAGTCCAGTGAAAGGAAAAAAAAAGTGGGTCACCCCACAGCTTCCAAGGCATCAAAGGAAAAGACTCCTCCTCCCAAAGAAGATGAGGAACCCGACAGCACTCAGAGAAGACATCAACAAGACCCTCACCCGAGAAGCCTGGACACAAAGTGTCTGAGGACGAAGCCCAGCTGGGGAGGATTAGAAGTGCTCATGACTTGGGGAGAGGTTTTATTTAAAAGGAGGAGGAGGAGAGAAGAAAAGAAAGAAACAGGAACGAGAAGAGAAAAGAAAGAAGGGGAAAAAGAAGCTATTTAAGATAAAACGTGGTTTTGGCTATGGCTTGACTCATGGGCGTTCAGTGCTTTTTTCTATTTGTTGAAAATAATTTTTCTTTCCCTTTCTCTCTTTCCTTCTCTCTCTCTTTCTTTTCCCCTCCCTCTCTCTCACTCTTCCTTTCTCCAGGAAACTATTGTATATGGAAGTTTAAGTTCCTTTTGTGTCTGTTGGTCCTCTCCTTGCCACTCCCTCTGTTTCCCAGTGTTAAGATTAAGCACTGGGTTGACTGCCCATCTTTGTCTTTGTAATGGAAGATACACTGCCTGTGGGAAGCAGTAAGACCTGAGATGGAGACGAGGCAGACTTTATTTTGGCTAACATGATAATAGCAAATTGAATAGGGATCAAAAGACATAGACAGATTTTAGTTTTAAAAAACTGCTCCTTTCTCTACCTGGACTTCTAAAAAGACCCAATGGTCATCTAATCTGAGTTTATGTGTCTATATATATAAATATAAATGTCTAGAAGAGAAAATTATACAATCAAGAAAAACAACCAAAAAAAGGAAAAGCAAGAAAAGAAGAAAAAAAGTGTCATTTGTAAACAATGTGGCGAACATAGTCCAGATCTGAGCTGATTAATCCCAGCAAGCCAGCTGTAGTTTTATGGTGGAGCAGTAGATAATCCTAGTGAGCCTGCACTTTTTAGTTCCACTGAAGTTCAGGCTGGTTTCTGGCTTTGAGCGTCAGGCCAGATTTACTGAGCTTGCAGCAGTCCGTATCTTTCCTCAGTTTAAACTTGGCTCCCTGCGAGCTTGAAGGTGACTCCTTGACCTGCTGCTGACTTGAACTCAATTCCTTGGCCCTGGCACTGGGAGCCACTAGATGAAGGGGGCGCAGCTGCTCTGACTTGTGAACTCAGTTGGCTGCCAGCCAATAGACCTCCCTGAGGGATATGTGAACCCAAATAACTCACGTGCCACTGCAGGCCACTGCGTCCACTGCTCTGTTCCACCCGTGCATTTCTCTGTGGATGCCACTGGCATCGCCAGTAGTCACCGTGCTTCTGCAGGTTTGAGCACCCCTGCCATACAGTGAGTCCAGGACTCGGGGACAAAGTGCTGCCTGTCACTTTTTCCTTGAAGTCTTTGTCTTCATTTTCTCTGTGGGCTTCAATTCTAGCTTTGTATCCTCCCTGGGTCCAGGGGCCCACTTTTCTCCCTCTCCTCTTCCTGTTCTATTCCAGTATCTGGACACCAAATCTCTGAGAGGCTTTTTCTCTGTTACTCACCATTCTGCTACTGAGATAGCTTGGACCCCAGAATAAAATTTGAGGAAGCAAGAAATTGGGAGCAAAGACTTTATTCCAGGCCTGGCGAAGCAGCCCCCTTAGGATCGACCCAGAGACTTCATGCCTAACAGACTAAGGGAGGGTTATTTAAAGCTAAAAAACCCGCAAAGCTGTAAAGCTGTTGACTTAGTTCTGATAACATCTGGAGCTCTTGGTGCATTCAGCTACTCCCACCCTGCGGTTAAACATTATCTCAGAATAGCACACCTGCAATAACATACGGAAAGAGGGTAGGGAGTTACAAGAAGCTAAAACTTAAGCTTTTACAAGGATTAGAAACTTAACCCTATCGAGACAGCGCATGCAGAACAAGACGGAGGCGCACTGGTTACAGTTAAGCCATAACACTATCTTCACAGAAGTTGCTGAAGTGATTTTTAACTGTCACATGTTGTTTTTCTATTTTTGTTTTCTCTCAGGATTACATTTGAAATTATAGATTTTTTTATGTCAGCATTAGTATCTTCCAGGAATTTATTCATTTTATTTAAAAATCCATAAGCATGGATTTTTTGACTGAATTAAGAACACTTGGGAGCCTGGAAATGCATTAATTTTTTTTTAATCAGTATTGGGGATCCAACCTACAACTGCACGCCTGCAATGCAGGCACTTATGCCACTGAGCTAAATCCCCAGCCCCTTGGAAATGAATTATTTTTATTGAGTCCATGAGGATGTTTCCAGAAGAGATGATTCTGAGAGAATTAGGGTTAAAAAATATGATTTATATTTTGAGCCACAGTATGGCAGGAAGCTGGAATGTTAGCCAAGATAGGGAAGACTGTGAAGGATCCATATCCCCGGGCATGGCTGATTGCAGTTCAACTCACTGTTAGCTGGGGGCTCTGGTTGCCCAGCAGAGACTGGAAGCTAGATGTACCTTAGAAAGGCTGCTTGCTGAGGGTTTCTAGATTTCCTGACCTCCCCTCCCCCTCGCTTTGCTACTGGGTTACTGGAGATTGAACGCTGGGCCTTTGCACTTCACTCTGAGCTACTTCCCCAGTTCTTTTTTGTCATGCTAAATTGGGAAGTTCCCCAGAGTGTGCCTGAATTTGCAGCCCTCCTGTTGTTACCAGGTTTTGTGGTTCTCGGGTCTACTTCCAGAGCTGGCTTCTAGGTTCTTCTGGTCTTGAACAAGAAATGGATAAAACAAGTGCAAAAGGAGTGAGATTTTACATTCATTAAATGTAGGAAAAGAAACATGCTCTGCAGACTGTATGTGACCAAGTAAAAGCAGGAAAAGAAGTATACAGCATGAGAGCAGCCACTGTGAAGGGACGCAGTGTCAGAGAGCTCAGCAGTGACTATCCTTCTGTATTTCCTACCCCTGATGTCAGATCTAGGCTGTCCCACTGCAAATGGCTCAAATTCTCCTGAGGAGAACTAAAGACTGCTAGAGTTATTTCCAAAAGATGAAAAATATTAACAAAAGATGAGAAATATAAAATAAAAAGTGGCCTTTATTCTGAGAACACAGAGAGAGATGACCGGCACCCCCACCGCTGGTGTCCGGCGATCTCTCTGGTGGACACGTGGCGTGGGGGCCTGTAAATAGCCTTGGTTTGGGGTGGAACCTAAGGCGGGCATTAGGGATACACAGGTAGCCCATTGGTCCTAGGTTTGGCGCCATATGTAAATTTCCAGGGGCGGGAAGATGGCGTCACGGGTAACTTCCTAGGGGCAGGGGAGATGGGGCTTCCTGCTTCCGGTTGTGGCTTTCCTAGCTACAGTGTCCTGTTTGGGCCAAAACCCTTTCATATCCCATCTTATGATTATTATTATTATTATTATGAAAAGGGGCAAAGATTTCTCTCTTTAACTACTTCCTGCTGGCAAAGGGCGCTGTACTGGAGCCTAGGGGAGTCGACGGGATGAAGGTTGATGCCCAGGTAGACGCTGGTGCCAGGTGTTTTGGCCATGACAGCTTCACTGGTGAATGCACGTATGTCAGACTGGAAAAACAAAGAGACAAGATGTTAGGAGGAGACATGGCACTGTCATATTAAGGACCCAGGTGAGGTAGAGGGAAAGGTGCCTTTGATTTAGACATATCATTCTATCAGGACCATGTTGAGGTAGAAACATTTCCACAGTGAAGCAGAATTCTGAAAATTAAACGTGGGGTTAGGAGGAGTGGAGTTATGAGAGGTGCTTACTCCCCCATCTGAAAGCATAAAAGTTAAGAGGGTAGGTGTATAAAACTTGTCTCCAGTCCAGGAGTTGCACTGGAAAGAATAGGGGGAGCAGGGAAAGCGGTGGCTGCACCCGTATAGGGAAGGTAAGGGCTTAGGCTTTCAGGGATGTCACGTTTAACCAGACAGCTGAGGGTAGAAAGAACTGCAACTGTTATCATATAGAACATTATGAAGATTCTTTAATAGAATGTAAGAAATTAGGAATCAAAGTGGATAACAAAACATGACTTAGCCTGTTAACTGTGGCTGCGAGGCCTTTGTGAGACGGAGACGGGTAGGCGACAGAAGATGAGATGACCACTCAGAATGATCAGATTTAGGGCTGGAAGGGCACCTCTTAGCCTGAGTGATGTGAAACCAGGATGGCAGTCCAGCAACTTTGATTTAGGCATGGGTTGCTGTAACCTGGTTGTAGTCCTTGGAATGATTTGCTGTAACAGAACTTTAGTAAGTATGAGAAAGGCTTTTATGTATCCTGAAAAAGTATAAACCAAGTGAGAAGATAAAAATGTATCTGTCAGTCTTAACCAGGGTACCTGAGAAATTGGTGAATAAGAAAGAAAGAGGGGTGGTCTATATCACTGAGGAGAGGTCCACCAGTGACAACAGGTGGAAGCTGTTGAGGCCTCTGTGTGTCTAAGTCAGCCTGTATAAAAGGCACTTTAAGATTTAGGACTGGGACCTGCACAAAATAGGCCCTGTTTGTAATGTAAATGGCATAGGTTGACCATCAATACCCTGTCATAGAGATTGAGGACTTAATATAGCAGCCTGAATACTCAGGAAGAACTCTGTATATAAGGCCTCTATGTCCACAAATATAGAGAATGTCTTACCTGAGACTTTAGTGCGACTTGAAATCCATGACGGACACACACAAAGGGGGCTGCTGGCCCTGAGTCTTTTCAGTCTTCAGCAGCGATTTTCTGTCAGTGACGAATCTGGCAGTGTCAACATTTCCTGTGAGGGCTATTATTTAGGATGACTTATCCACTCTGTGGTGGCTAGGACAGTCCAGTAGCCCTGGAGTAAGGTCTCAAAGAATGCCAGGATGGGGCATTTTCTTGCCCAGTATCTTCTGCTGCATTTGAGCGTGGTCCATGGAGGGGGCAGGCAGCTCCACCTTGTATAGGTTTACCTGTCTCAGAACTCCAAGTGTCACAAGTGTTAAAAATATAAAAAAACATATTAAGATCTCTATAAGGTTTGAAGTTCAAGCTTTGCCTTTTTGTTTGGGATTTGGACTACAGTAGAATTAAGTATGCATGAATTTAATATTGGCATTTTAGATCAGAGAGCAGGCTTTATCTGGATGGCATATTGCTTTTTTTATAGGGTGACACGTAGAATTAACAAAGCTTTAGTTTGCCAAACAAGGCTGTAATGGAAACATTTTGCAGTAAAGGTTTAGCAATCTTATGAATAAATCTATCAAAACTGATCTAATACTGTCAAATTTGAATACATTTTAAAGTTGTTATTTGCAGTAGTATGAACCAAGACAAATAAAACTTTAAGAAAACCCTTGTCTTGAAATAAAGCTAGTGGTTCCCAGTAAAAAGGAATTTATAACCTTAGTTGTTAAACAGGAAATTGGTGAAGGCTTTGATTGATAAACAAGGCTGGTAAAATTACCAGGTGTCCAATAACCTTGATTAAATCGTTTGAGAATTGTAATAAAAAAGCATCTTTTGAGCGGAGCCAAATTGTAAAAAAAAAGCACGCCTGAGCAGAGCTGCTGAGCTGCTGTTTCTCGGGCTCCGGCAGAGTACGCCCAGTGGGTGGGGCAAGCGCTGGGATGTAGTGTGCAGGGGCGGGCTCAGACTGCCCCCGGAAACGTGTAAGGTGGTAGCGGCATCGACGACGGCGCACAGGGGAGGGAGGGGCTGGGAGGCGGCCCAACACAGTGTGCAAAACTGGAACTGCTTGCAGGGCTCGAGGATTAGAAAGCCAATTTAGGAACACAGCTGGGTTTTGATTAGCCTCCTGGACCTGTTTTAAAAGTTTGTTATAGTTAGTATGCTTGTCCTGCTCTGGCACAGCTATAGGCCCAGAGTCATTATAAACGTCCTTAAAATGTAAATCATAACAATTAGTAATAAATTTAAATTGCCTGATATAATTCTGTGGGTCAACAGAGAGGCTACCTAATTTAAGGGTAATCTGAGATAGATCAGAAAGGGAAAAAGGCACATGGATGTTAACAAGTCCCTCGGGGCCAGCTTGCTCCCAAAGCGGTAGCAGAGCCTGAGGAGATTCTGGAGCAGAGTGCCATTGAGCAGCCATCCTTCCGGTAGGCGCATGTGATCAATCATCTGTAGAGTGGCTACAGAGCTGCTGCCGGTCACCCTGGGAAACACGAGCAGATGGCGTCTCACTGTGTGCCTTGCAGCTAGAGGACTGCTGTCGGCAGCACAATGAAGTGTCATGTGCACTGCAGCAGGGCGGCTGTTGCAGTTCACAAGAGGAGCCACAAGGGGACGCCTGTTGACAGTGAGGATCCTGGGAACATGGCGGCGCCCTGTCACATGACCCAAAACATGGCGGCCTGTTGCCGTGTGGCCCTCCTGAACATGGCAGCGCCATACCACGTGGCAGAGGGTTGCAACATGGCGACTGTTCCCCGCACAAGCTGGAACAATCATGCGGCCTGCTGGAAGGACATAGCGACCGAGACCTAGTATGGTGGGCAGAGGGTGAGAATGCTGTAGGGGATACAGAATTCTCAGGAGAAGTCGGAGACTGATAGGAAGCACTAACAGAGGGATCAGAGCTGCTGGGAGAGATATGGGTCCCTGGAGATGGAGGGAGAGAGGATCAAACATCGGGAGATAACTGCGGCACAGAGGGATTAGAGCTGCTGGGAGAGTTATGGGTCCTGGAAAGTGGAGAGGGAGATGATCGCACAGCAGGAGGTATCTGCGACAGAGAGGGATTAGAGCTGCTGAGAGAATCAGTCATAGGGGAAGGGGAGAGCGGTCCGGCGGGAGGTAACAGCAGGGAATGAGTTTGGTGGTAGGCAGGCGGTGGCTGTGAAAACACCGGAGGGCAGGGCGGAAAAGTTTGCGGCACAGTAGACTTAGCTAAAAGTATCTCAGCTGGAGCACAAGACTTAATGAGAGATGAGCGTGTTCTCAGAATAAGAAAGGCTTGGACATAAGGGAGTTTTAATAACGTTGCCAGCTTGACAAAAATCGTACAAGTTCCTGAGAATGCAGGGGTCAAATGTTCCTTTTTTGGGCCAAGGCTTGCCGATAAGCGGGTAGGTTGGCCAGACCTCCTGGCAGTAAAAAGTTAGTTGTTTAGTTTTTATGGTACCTTTAATTTTTAGAGTACGTAAATTGGAAATTAGGCATTGTAAAGGCGTCTTTTGGGAGTTAGAAAATACGTTCCCCATGACTGATTCAGGCAAGAAAAAAACCGGAGGTCCAAAACAAGTCGTCACTTATTTGTGACACCCTGCGGCGGCTACGGTTCCAAAAACTCGTAAATTCTAGTCGTCACTGAGAGATTTAGGAGTGGAGCCTAAGTGGGGTCAGTAACAGTTTTGCCCATGAAAGCGCAAGGCTTTAAGGGAAGTGAGGCGTTCTTTTAGTGTGGGCGGTCCCAAAGATCTCTGTTTTGGGCTATCCGAACCCAAAGAACATGAGAGATTTTGTGGACGCAGGTTTGCCCAGAAAGAACCCTGCCCTGGGCGGTCCTAAGGACGTGAAAATGCACAGACCCACACAGACGGGGAGAACATTCCACTGGGGCTGCCCAGTGCGAAAAGTTCCCGGGGGAGTGCTCACCTGAAATCAGTCTGGCCGATGCGGAGTGCAGGCCGCTGGCGACAGGAACGTCTCGGGAGAGGAAAAAGCTCGGGATTAATCCAGGATGTTATCTGGTTATCGGCTAGGAGACTCAACTGGGTGTGTGGCCCAAGAGTCAGTTGCCTGCCGATCCGAGTCACGGCACCAAATGCTAGAGTTATTTCCAAAAGATGAAAAATATTAACAAAAGATGAGAAATATAAAATAAAAAGTGGCCTTTATTCTGAGAACACGGAGAGAGATGACCGGCACCCCCACCACTGGCATCCGGCGATCTCTACGGCGGACACGTGGCATGGGGGCCTGTAAATAGCCTCGGTTTGGGGTGGAATCTAAGGCAGGCATTAGGGATACATAGGTAGCCCATTGGTCCTAGGTTTGGCGCCATATGTAAATTTCCAGGGGCGGGAAGATGGCGTCACGGGTAACTTCCTAGGGGCAAGGGAGATGGGGCTTCCTGCTTCCGGTTGTGGCTTTCCTGGCTACAGTGTCCTATCTGGGCCAAAACCCTTTCAAAGACAACACTCTCTTGACTGGTTCCACATGCAGGGCTTTGGGAACTGTTTTGAGGCTCTGTCCTGGAAACTGTCAATTAATAGGATCCAACCACTTTGTGCAGTCAATCTGCTGAAGCCTAATCTGCCACATCATCTTAGCCCACCAGAGTTCTCTGTTAGAGCCACACACCATGACTGGCCTAGACCTTTTTTTCGTAATCCAGATTTCCTCAGATAAACGTTCATTTTATATACCTCCTAATCTCCAAAGAATTACAAAATTTTTCTATAAAATTTGAGGAAAATCGAATTCACTCTTTATTAGAATAAAATCAAGCCAGGGATGTATTCTGCCTAGCACGAACATGGTCCTGAGTTCAATTATCAATGTTTTTAAAAAAGTAAAAATATTGAGCTAGAAAATAGCTATTGTCTTTCATAAATATCTTTGATGGGTAACCAATATCTTTGGTTTAACTAAAGCAGAGCAAAGAATAGCAACACCAAAACCAAGGTTTTCAGAAGCACAATGAAAGGTATTAACTTTTCATAATGCAAAAAATGAGTTCTAATTATCCTGAAACATTTCAATATTATCAGCAGATGAAAGGTAGAGTGAACAGACTGTGGCCAGACCATACTGAAACATGGAATTCACCACAGCCTGCAGCCCACTGCCCAGGAAACCAGCTGTCAGTGTACTTAAGTCAAGGAATCAGAAGCTAACTGTGGCAACAAGCCAGGAAGCAAAACAGGTTCTGTGACAGTCAGCCCCCAAAAGACAGGACTTAATTGATAGCTTCTTTAATCTTTGTCTTTATTTACAATTTAGGACCAACCAGAGAAAGCCAAACCCACTACTGTAGCCAGTCATGTAGGATACTTGGCTTCAAGTGAGCTGTCTCAGTTTCCCCAGACCCCAATCCTCCACACAGGGCACCTCTGCAGCCTCCTTCCTGTCCACTGAAACTGCCACTCCTCTGCCTGCCTTCAAGTCTCTGATAGAACACAAGTGACAGGAACCAAATTCTGAGCTATAGCAAATAAGGAATCAAGTCTTTTCTCTCATTTGTTGGTCTTTATTTCCCCCACATAATAAAGGCTATCACACTATAATCTCTGTAATTGATCTACTTCTCCAGGGTTGGTGGCATTCACTTAGAAAACTAGGACCTGGGCAAATAAGGATTACACAGTTAAAGCAAACAACTGTGATTTTACTAACCGGCAGCAGGGTTGCTCATAACCACTCTAGCAAGTGTTACAGCACTAGACTTTGAGGAGGTAATCACAAGCTGTTCTCAGTCCTTTAGTTTTGGGGGAATAAACACCCCAGTGATGGACACTATATGTTAGAGATGGCTTCCTTTTGATTTTTATCACATGCAAAAATCAAAAAATTTATGAAATTAAAAATCGTTAGCAGGGGTGGTGGTGCATGCCTGTAATCCCAACACTTCGCAGGCTGAGGCAAGAGGATTGCTGTGAGTTTGAGGCCAATGTAGGCTATATAGTGAGTTCAAGGCCAGCCTGAACTGTACAGGAAGACCCTGTCTCAAAAACAAAAAAAAGACAACAACAAAAAAGTGAGTCATAATCTCCAAGGAGTAATAAACTTGCTCACTGGATGTGGTGGTGCACACCTGTAACTCACCATTTAGGAGGCCGAGGAAGTAAGAGCACCATGAGTTCCAAGCCAGCCTGTTTACATAGCAAAACGAAGGCCAACCAGAACTACAAGATGAGGCCCCACTTAAAAAAAAAAAAAAAAAAACTTAGACCAGATCTCTAATCTGCTGTCAATAATAAACTCTTATTTAAAAATACAGAAATATGACCTAGGGGGCATAAAAACCTGCCTGGCAAGCAGGGCCTGAGTTCGGTTCCCAGTATAAAAAAATAAATAAGGGCCAGGGATAATAGCTCAATGGCATAAGTGCATGCCTGGCAAACACAAGGTCATGAGTTTAGATTGTCAGTACCAAAACAGTGGGAGACAATTTGGGTGATTCCCCTTTAATGCAGAACAATTGTTGCAATGTTGATTACATTGAGACTTATCTTTTTATAGTGATATGTGAAACAGTTTTGACCCAGACAGGACACTGTAGCCGGTGAAGCCTCAGGCGTAACCAAGGAGCTCCATCTTCCCCACCCCTAGGAATTTACCCCTGGCACCAAAAGAGTGTCACTGGGCTACCTCTGCATCCCTAATGTCCTCAGGCTCCACCCCAAACCGAGACTACTTAACGTGCCTCCACTCCACATGTTCCATGAGAGATCACCGACCCTGGGGGGGAGATGCCACACCCAGGGGATGGAGGGGTGTCTCTCCCCGCATTCTCAAAATAAAGGTCATTTATATTTCATACTTCTTACCTTTTCAGCAGCTGCCGGTCCCCCACAGTTCTATCAATATGTACGGAGCTGACTACGGTATTTTTTTTTTAATTGGCTCTAGGCATTGTAAATAAGGCTAGCCTAAGTGATCTCTGAAAGGATTTTGCCCTGAAGTGCTGGGAGGTGGAAGGTCACCTTCTCCGCCCGTAGGCAATTTACCTGTGGTGCGCCTTAGGCTCCACCCCAAACCTAAGCTACCTGTATGCCCCACACCACATGTCCGGCAGAGAGAATGCCAGACCTCGGAGGTGGTGGTGGTGGGATCTCTCTCTACATTCTTAAAATAAAGGCCACTTTACTTTATATTCTGTCTTCTAACCGCGCCAAAAACTTTCAATCTCTAAAGCCATCAGACAGTCTCCAGTTTCCTCGAATAGTGTTCTCTAAAGTATATAAGCAAAGCAGGATGGTAGAGCCATTTGAAAGGATTCTGCCCTGGACAGGTCACTACAGCAGTGAGAGGCAGGACCAAGGAACATTTACACTGAGGTAATTTTCCCGCCCCTAGGCAATTTACCCACGGTGTGAAATGAATCCCTGGCTGCTGGCGCATCAGTAATGCCCCTTTAGGCACCACCCCAGACCAGAGTTGCCCCTACATACCACGTGTCCGACATAGAAAGCCTGACCCCCGGTGGTCATGGAGTTTCTCTCCGCATCCTTAAAATAAAGGCCACTTTACATTCTGAAAACTCTTTCACCAGTCAGCTCTAGGAATGTCAACCGGGTATGAGCCTCAAGGTAAAGAGGCTATGAATCCCCAGGGCACAAAAATTCACATATCAGAAACTAAAGCAATAGCCTCCAAAACCAATTCAGTTGCTACCTTAATTAAATTATGCAAATTGATTCTTTTGCATATCTTTATCTCTGCATTTTGCAAAACTATTTTTTCACTACTTGACTAGCCAGTTCAAGTTACTTACATAGTTCCCGCCATCCTCACTGTCACTAATCCTAGAGCCACCCCCTTCTTCACAAGATAATAAATTCTGGGAAAGGCCTAGCATCAGGGCCTTTGTCCGCACATCCTCTTGGAGATTTGGATTTAGGACCGCTTGGCTGTCCTTAACTTGGAATATGTTTTGGTGTCTTTATTCTCACCTTGGGTTGCTTTGGAGGTGGCAGATTGGAATTAACTTGCTGGGATTCCAATAATGTGTCAATGGTATTATAAATATAACTTTTTGGATTGTGGAGAAGACTGGAAAAGGGATTACAATATTTGGATGATGGTACTCAATATTTGGGGTTACAATAAAAATAAGTAATTAAAAAAGATCTAAATAAAAGCAGTCTGTAGCACCACTAGAGATTGATTTTTTCCTCTGGAAACTTAAAAGCTTAAATGTTTATTATTCTCATGTAAACATCATTTTCTGGTACATAAATGAAAATGTATAAACAAGACTATCTTTGGAATAGGATTCAGATCAAATATGTCATGTACAAGGTTTGTTATGTAAATACCCTGAGCTACTTCCTGTCCATAAAAACAGAAGAATGTTTACCTGATGGGGTTGATGTCAGCATTGAAGAAATGAATGTCCATTTCTGCTCCAAAGGACGTAACATATGGTAATCCGTGTGGAATGGATGACTGCTACAATAATCATCACTATTGTCATTATCACTATCATGTTCCCAAGCTTGCTTTCACTGGTAAAGAAAGATCATGAACTTGTCACAGACAGTAAAAAAGACTTTATTCAAGGAGAAGCATGACCTTCATTCAAGGTATAGGAATCGCTTTGATAGGATTTTGTAAAGGGACAGAAAGTCTGAGCAATTTCTATTTGCCAACATGGAAAAGTGAAAATTTATACCCATGGAACAAGGTGGGAAGTCACTAAAAGGATGCATCAGCACCAAGGGAGGTTCTAACTAACCCAACCTAACAGAGGTCCTCTTGCCCTGCTGAGGAGGTCTGCGAGGGGGGAAGATGAGGACCCTGCTCAGATATCCTCATGGCTCTACTGGTTTAGTAGGGCTCATGCTAATTCTGCCTAATGCCGGGACAACATGGAAGTCTAGATATGGAGACGTGGTTTAGAAAGAAAGCTCAAAGAAGTCTGAGTAGAATTCAGTCCAAGAAAACCTTATTATTACTAATAGCTGTATTTGGTATTAGTGCCCCGCACTACCACAAAGCTTACAAAGGCGATAAAAGTAGAAAAAAGTGCCATCTTTTAAGAAATTCAGTCATCATTAACAAAACTGGGATGGACATTAAAGCAAAAACTATTTACTCCTTAAATTTTGCTCGAGGGCAGAATAATGCTATTTGATTGAGATTAATTAGCATGCACGGTGGATTATTGGATGATATGAATGGAAACAATGATCTTACAAAGCGTCAGACTTTTAGTTGGACATGGTGGTGACATCTCTACTGCCAGCACTCTGGGAGGATCAGGCAGGAGGACTGCAAGTTCAAGACCAACCTGGACAACTTAGTGACACCGTGAGACCCTGTCTCAAAAAATGTGCTGGGAATGTAGCTTAGCACAAAGGCCCTGGATTCGATTTCCAGTACAAAAAAAAGAACAACAAATTAGGATTTTTATGGGAAAGACATACACTGCAAGCAGATACTACAGTAGAAGAAGAAAGGTAGAATTAGTCCCTTTCTGGGCCTGGGCCGTCCAAAGGCTCTGGGCTGGGCTTGAAAGTCTGTCATCCAAAATAGAAGCAGACATGCTCAGCAGCAGTCAGTGACAGAGAGGATGTTGACAATGAAGACTACCTCCAGCTGAGAGAGGTAAGAACATACATACAAATGACTGCCGGGAGTTGTTGCTTCTTTACTGTCCAATTAAAATGCCTCAATGAAATTCTCTTTTTTAAGGATTTGGAATTGAAGGAATCTATTCTGCTTTTAAAAATAGGATGCTTCTGGGGATTTAGCTCAGCGGCATAAGCATCTCCCTTGCAAGCAGGCGGTCCTGGGTTCAATCCCCGGTACTGATTAAAAAAAAAAAAACATAAAAAAAATACAATGCTTCTGATTGTCAAAATTTAGCAGCCCCCAAATTAGTAAGGGTCTGCTTACTCTACTCACTCACTATGGGAACGTGCCTTCCTCTTCCTGTCCCAAGAGCCTCCTGTAAGTTGTCTGCGGGAGCTGCAGGCCAGCGGCTGGAATAAGGCTGGTTGTCCTCTGCAAACACAAGGACAGTGAGGAACCCTCCGTCTTTTCTGCAGTGCTGTGCAGGACACCTGGCAGCTCGGGAAAAGGGATCTGTCAGACCACACCCAAAGCCATCAGAACCAACCCAGTGACAGTGCCTCTCGGATCTCTCTGGGTGGACCCAGGTCTGACCCTTCATCTCTGAGGCAGCCTTCATGGCTTCCAGCTGCACACCGTCTCCTGTGACTGCTGTCCTGCGGTGCTGGCCCTCATTCTCCTCGGTGGGGGTCAGTGTGTCTGCCGGCCTCAGCTCATCAAAGACCGTTCATTAGTGTATCCACTCAACACCTGTATGCCATTCCTGGATGCACCCCGTGTTTGGGGTGCTCGGCTTTCTTCAAGCTCTACTTTAGGTCTGTCATGCACGTGACAACTCAAAAGTTCACTTTAACAAGTTTTAATAAAAAAAGCAAAACAAAACTTACCCTAAATCTGGGCACAAGCATCTGTGACAAGCCGAGAGCAGCATCAGAAGCCAAGAACTCTGAACACCGTCAGGTGCCCCCGCCCGGGCCCTCCAGAGAGAACATGTGACGTGGACCCGTTAAGTGGGCGGGTGGCCCTATCTTTATACTTGCTCTCATCTCCACACAGGCCCCCCTTCATGGCTTCTTCCTGCTGCCTCTTTCTCCACCCCCAGCGGCACCTCCCTCGCTCCATCCCGTGATCCCGAAGCTCCTCTGAAGGCTTGCAGTTTCCCTCTGATTTCCCATTCAGCACAGCTCCAATCCCAGTGCTTCCCAGCAAGTGGAGGCACTTGATCCTGTTTCACTTGATATTTTATGCAAGGGAATGTGAAGCTGGGGCAGGGAGGCAGCTCCATTTGGAGTTGGCTGTCTGGTCAGATACAGCAAAGGTGACTTACGGAATAAGCAAGTAAAAACTCACCCAGAGGTTGAAATTAACCCGTGAAAACGGAACGTGGAGATGTATTTGGTCTGGACCGAGAACACGTAGACCTGGCAAAGGTGACTTGGGCGTTCTGAGGAAGCTAATTATGTGACATTTCTGAGGTCACGTTTACCAAATAACTGAGGCTCACAGACTACAGCTTGTTGTATTATTTAATGCTGTTGGGATGTTTGAAAATTAAATTGCGTTTTTAAAGCATAAGCTTACCTAAGGGGTGAATCTGTTTGGAGTCAAAAGAAAGAGAAGGCAAGGTTACAAGTCTGTGTAGAAGCAACACATCTGGCACTGTGGGTACCGGGAAGGTGACACGTTCTGGGTTGGTTTAGAGGCCATTTACCAGGTGAGCTCTGGCACCCTCAGCCTATTCTCAATATAGTCAGAGCTTCTCGGAGCAATTTTTCCTATCAGGGCATGTGTGGTAAGGTTTTGAGGCCCTTTAGTTTGTCCCAGATGGCAGGGAGGTGGGACTGCCACACTTAGGTGGAGACTAGGGACCTCAATACTGAGCGTCCCACAGAAATGGATTAGGCCCCACCAAGAAGAGCAGGTCCAGACGTCCCAGTGCAGAAACCAAATAACTCTGCAAGAGTGATCGCTCAAAAGGAAGAGGATGGATCAAATAAAGTTTGGGCATAGCTTGGGAAATGATCTCCTTGTACTTGAAGTCTCAGAGAAGCCTGGTAGCAAAAATACTTTATTAAGTGTGTTTGATCTAGCTTTGCAAAATCCATAGAGCTGAAAACAACCATCATGATGTTTGCCGCGGAAACTAACTTGGGTGGAAGGGCCTGTGCCTACACACAGCTGGCAACCAGCTGTTTCTTAGAAGCTCTTCCTCAGTATGCCTGCACCAGCGCCACAATCCTAAATGGGGTGCGGATGAGGAGTCCTCTTACCTGCAACTGCTATCAGCAGGCCAGGCCAGCTAAGCTCAGTCCTGGGGGAGGATCTGTGAACTGGCCAGGTGGGGCAGGCAAACTGGCCTGTGTGGGTGAGAGGCATGATCCCAAGGCTGCCCACTGAGGCTGCATGTGACTGGTTCTGAGATGGTTCTGAGTTGTGTGGCTGTTGTGAACTCACTGGCATCAATCTGCACATGTTTGGTAGTAACAATCTGCTGCCTCGTGGCACCTGGCCTACCTCATGCTGGTGTCTGTTTGTGGACCATTTATAGAGTCTAGCTTGCTAGCCCTGGACCTGCTGCACTCGCTGAGGAGAGCCACAGCTTCTACCTGCAGTCTTTTCTCGCCTGAGATCACTCCATGGCTGGAGAATGACTCTCTTTCTGTTCTACTCTATCCCACTCTTTCTGCTTTGAAGCAACACCTACCTAACTCCTTTTGTGTGCTTTGTGCTGCACTTTGAAGAACAGCAAAGGGCCCTGCCAGCGTGCACGGCCTCAAAGCCCTCAGAAGGATGCCAACAACCTCCTGCCTTGTGTCCTAAGCACAGACAATTTTCACCAGATTCCCTCAGGACCTTCAAGTTCAGAAGAGGCTGTCTTTGGGGTTCTGTTACAGGGTCTTCTAGAAGCCTTCTTAGGTATAGCCTGAACTCTAAAAATCCCGTCGGTGAGCTAGAAACTCCAGCGTATACAGATAAAGGTGGACAGTGAGAGGTACCTCAGGATCTTGACAGGATGCACAGAGCCACACAGAGCTCCAGTTAGTGGTTGAGTCAGATTTTTCCTGCCTTCTTGCTCCCTGGAAGCTTCTGGATGGGATTCATTCCCTGGCCCGGGTCTCTAGTACATGGTCTCTTGGTTGGTTCTTTTCTTTTGCAGCTCTTACCCATTTGATTGATCTCCCCTCATTCAACAAAAACTCCACATGGGCAGATCTCCTCCGTCACTGGCTGGCCAGGCTAACTCTGAGTTAACATGACGCCTCTGCTTTGTCGTCACAACTGAGCGGCTCCATCCTTGTTCATTTCCTGTCTAGCACTAGGGAGGAACCTTCTAGAGGCAGCAGTCTGCATGTGTAGGTTGCATCTCAGAGACATCTTGTATGGGTCCCAGTCCAGAACACCTTGTCCTAATACGCAGATCATCAGTGACTCTGACCTTAGGAAAAGTAAATTTATACCGGCATAGTCTGCTTTGTTTAACTGTGGATAATGTAATATGATGGGTTTTGAGTGGCTAAAAGTAATTCTTAAAAAATGCAAATACAAGGTATGACCCAAATACATGGTGAATACATTTAGAATTTTATTATAGTAACACATGTGCACGTTAATCCTAAATAATCCCCCTCTCCCTGAACACACTTACTCCATTATGCTTGCCACTTTCTGAAGCAATTCTGCAAGTTTTCTCTCATGAGCGTTTTTACAAGGTGTGATGAAAACCCAGAGCATGTCACCACGTAGTGCCACCAATGGAAATGCTTCGTAAAATCATTATGAGGAGTCCCCTCCACTGGATCTGGCACCGTAAGACCTGTGGCTTTTCTCCCAACTCAAAATGCCTGTGAAAGGTGTCACTGCATGTCTAGATGTCCCCCCAAAGCGTCATGCGGGCAAGGGTTTTTCAGAGGTGCTTGGATCTAGGGAGTGTGACCCTGGCATGAAGGCTGTGATGCTGGAATCAAGAGCACCCAGCCTGGGTGTGGGCGGCACAGCCCAAAGGGCAGGCAGCCTGGATGAAATATAAAAGCAGGCTTGGATGTAGCTGCGGCTTGCTACCTGCGGCCTGCCCTCTTTGCCACAGACCGTTTCTCCTCTGCAGTGCCCTGGTGCCATGCCACCTGCCTTGGAGCCAGCTGACTGTGGACCGAAATCTCTACAAACTGTGAGCCAAATAAACCTTTCCTCTGCTAACTTTGTAACTAAGACAAAAGATGAACATTACAATGTCTAGGGAGTCACAACAGCACAACTGAAGACCTCACAAAAGAGGACTTCCTGAGCTACTTCAGAAAGTGGCAGGAGTGATGAGACATGCATCGGAAGGGAGGGAGAGTACTTCCAAGGGGATAATGGCAATGTGTCCTTTACTGCAATAAATTATATAAAAATTTACACAGTCATCATAGTATTTGATCACACTCTATCAGGAACGTCCGCAGTGAGTCTCCAGTCTCCTGCCAGGTGTCACGTGCACAGCTAGAGAGAGGGAGGGAGGGAGGGAGAGGGAGGGAGAGGGAGAGGGAGAGGGAGAGGGACAGAGACAGAGAGAGAATGAGAATATGGCAGGACAGTGGGCATCTGGGATGATCAGTTGTTTACAAGAAATAAAAGGCCGTGAGGCAGCCAGAACCTCAACAGTTATTGACTGAGGAAGAGATTTGAGGAGGGGATTATTGGATGATTCCAGAGGGTAGAGAAGTATCTTGCCTTGGAGTAACTTTTAACCTTTGTGGTTTTAAATTTAGTCTTAGAGGGTGGGAGGGGATGGACCACCCTTAAAAGGATAAGGGGGAAATCCCAAACCTCCATGTATCGCTTAAGGAAGTATGCAAAACTAGCCATTGTGTTTGTGGTCCCAACAACACATCGTATATTTTTGGTCTATCTTAATCCTGATATGGATGCGTACCATGTGTTAGGGACTGAGCGATGGGCCACAGCACTTAGGTCATCTTCCGGGCAGCAGTCTGTACAGAGCGGGTTTACAGAATCACACGCTAGACTCAAGCTGGTTTCCTGGTTTTGCTTCAGTGACACTTGGTGTGCATTAAAGTGCAGGTATACAAGCTTCTGTTTTCACTATCTCCTCTCAATGAACTTAAAGCAAAGAAAGCATGTAGAATAAACATTAATAACCAATGAGTCGCTTTTAGGGAATGAACCTAACTAGCTTTAGAAAGCCAGCAGGCGTCCCACAGAGTGCCAGGCTCCTAGTGCCCTCCTGGGGGGTTGCTGACACCATGCTTCCCCCTCTGGACCTGTTTCCATGCTTCTGCGATGTCTGCCCCCTTTCCTTCCTCCTCCCCTCCCGCGCCCTCCCGCCCCAGCACCCGCAAGGCCTCTTCCCCCTGCGCCCTGAGGTTCTGCCCTTCCCATTCTCTCATCGCCCGGCCACTACTTTCCACACCCTGCTGCTAACCTTTAGGATCTGTTCCTCTCGCATTCTTTCCCGAACCCCTTTCCGCTTCTGAGCGCTGTGGAAGGGATGGAGCTGCTGCCCTAAAGGTCACCCTCCACTTCCATTAAGCTTTTGTGCTGAAACAGAGACACGGGATCATGGCATCTGCTTAACTGATAGGAAGACATGCTTACCTCACCCAGGAAATTAAGCTCTATTGGTGTCACCTGCACCTACAATTTATGTATGATGGCTCCCTGGGAAGACGATGAATGCTGCAAGAAGCCTCACTGTGTTTTAGTGTAGGACTATTTTGGCCAACCTGCATCTGTGATTTGTCACTCTTAGAATATCAGAGTATCAAGTGCCATGTTAGACATTAAGTAATAACCAATTAGTTCAAAGCATATATAAATAATAATAAGCAATTCAAAGCTTTATACCCTTATTTTGTATTACTTATATGTTTTTCAACTATTAAAGAAAAGGTATTATTTATTCATGTATTTATTGTCTTTTTGAGACAGGGTCTCACTGTACAGTTCAGGCTGGCCTTGGGCTCACTTTGTAGCCCAGGCTGGTCTCTCACTCTCAAAGATCCCTCCTGCCTCAGCCTCTTGTGGGCTGATGTTACAGGCATGCGCCATCACGCACATCGAAAGGGTATTATTTAAAAGATATTGTAGCATATGTTAATATAGTTCTTATCCAGG